ATTTAATAAATATTATTATTGAAATAATATTTTTTTGTAAGTTTACATGAGGAGTTGTGAATTCATATTAAAGCTCACGAGCTCATATCAAGGCTCGCGAGCCCATATCAAGGCTCGAGAGCCAAGCCAAGCTCAAATTATATGGGCTCGGCTTGGCCTGAGCCCAACTTTTAAATTTAGGCTCGAGCCAAGCCCAAGTTTTTTGGGCTTGACCGGGCTCGGCCTATGGGGAGCTTTAGTTATCACATATGGTTCTGTATCTTTATTTCCCAGTCACATGATTGTCCGGAGCATAGCGGAGGACGTTTTAGTTTTTACAACAAAAACAATAAAGTTTTCTAAAATCCTGATATCATGTGATGGCAATAGTATTGCGAAATTTTAATAATTGTTTTGAACATGTTTTATCTTTAAAAAATTAGACCGATTGATTCCAATCAAAGTTTATCATCTTCTTTAAGTACAAAGTTTTATATATTTAAACTTGTTTATGTTTATCTTTATTACAACAACATTTGTGTTTATTGAAGATTCCGAAAACTTTTCTGACGTCCGTCTTAAATACTTACTTAGATGAACGCATTGCTAATTTGTGCTCACTATCTATTTCTTGGGAGGTAATATCTCTCATTATAATTGTTATTTTTATAGGATACATGAAACACAAACAAAATACAGATTTAAATATGATATTGTAAGGTTAACAACTTTAACGCAAATTTTAAGGAAGCGGAAAATTTGAATATAATAATTATTATGGTTATGATTATGATTATCTGACCAATATTTAGTATAGATTTGACATAAAAGACTCATTTAATAAATAATTATTATTATAATTTAATTAATTATTATTATTATTATTATTATTATTATTATAAATTTATTAATCGAATTTCAACTTCTTTTTGTCTTTATTAACTTCGGGTTTAATAATACCGTTTTTCGTTGATCAAGAAATGGTTTTACCTCTTCAAGAGATGTTGCCGGTTTCTTCTTTAAACTTTCCATTTTTATCATTTCTATATTTTCGAGCTAAATTATTTAATTATTAAAATAATAATAGAAATATATTATAATTATAAATAATAATAGAAATATATTATAATTATAAATAATAATAGAAATATATTATAATTATAAATAATAAATAAATAGTACATAAAAATGATAGTGATACTTGGATCCGTCGACCACTATGAATTTAAAAAAAAAACATAAGTAATTGTGTCGTCATCGTCAAAACCTTGAAGAACGTCCACAACAGACTAAATCTATTGTGCCACTATGAGCTTTCATTCTCAGGTATTTTACTCCAATTAACTTCGGATACATAGACTCGACAATATTCTCATCAAAAATTTAAGGAATTTGAAAAAAAAGCGATCATGCAGTGAAAAATATTAATTCGAGACGCAGTAATCACCTTAAATCAATGAGAACAATGACAATGAGAACAATGAGAACAATGAGAACATATTTTATTTAATCCCTCGTGGTTATATAATAAAGGAACAAATTTTTCTGGTTTAAACGATACTTTGAAAAAAAGGTTCACGTAAATTCTACACTATTTACACTATTAAAGATCAAGAAAAATTGTCTAAACTATAAGGTTCTAGAATTAATAAAGATAAAATTATAAACCACTAAGAGAATCGGCTATCTACTTGAGATTTGGTTAATGCAAATGTCAATGGTAAATATTATGACTTTAAGGTAAGATAAGCATATTTAGACCATAAGAACTATTAAATTAGGGCAAATGATAAGAAACTCGGGATCAAGCGAACATCGTTGCACAAGAAAATACAATGAAAATAGGTTTCTAAGAATTCTGCTTGTATATGGTGCAATTCCTTCTTTAGGATTTGAAGTAACGTTTCAATTTCTATATTAGATAATATAATGTGTTTTTTTGATTTATTTAAGTTGGATCGAAACTCTCTTGTTCGAAAAAGATGTCTTTCTCAAATAATAAAAAAGATTTGATCCGAATTGAAGAAGATATAAAGATTCAAAAACTTGATTATAATACATTTGAAGATATCAAGCTAATCGCAACAGGAGGATTTGGAGCAGTCAATCGTGCCTATTCGAAAGTTTTTAAAAAACATGTTGCCTTAAAATGTTTGTTCGATGGAAATAGTGATAATTTTTATAAAGTATTTATGAACGAGGTAAATAAATATTTTGTTTTACAATAATTAAGAATAATTTTTGAGATGAAATTAATTACAATTATTACAATTATTATAATCGCTTCTTAAATTATTAGTTAAAAAATATTAAAGCAGTAAATCGTCACGAAAATATTATTAAATTTTATGGAGTCAGTATAGGTAAAATAAATTATTATAATTATTATTATTTAAATGTTATCATCAATTAAACAAAAATATTAAAATATTAAAGTATTAAATAATAACTGATAATAATATTATTATTTAATTTAGATCAAGAAGAAAAGAAATGCTACCTAGTGTTGCAATACGCTAAAGACGATAATTTAAGAACTTACTTACGAAATAACTTCGAAAATCTCAATTGGAAAACTAAAATTAATCTGGCTCAAGATATAGCAAATGGATTATGTTATATACATAAAGCAAATATTCTTCATCGAGATTTAGTAAGTATTATATATAAGATGATTTTGTAAATTTATAAATTATATAATTTTCATATCTAAATTTTCTTTTTTTTTTTTTTAAAAAAAAAAAAAAAGCATTCAAAGAATGTTTTGGTTCATAAAGGAAAATTATTGATAACAGATTTTGGCTTGTCTAAAATATTAGATACCAATTCTAATTCCTTTAAAGGAGGAATGTACGCTTACTTAGACCCTGAATATTTACGAAATTCGATAACGTATAAAAGAGATAAAGCTTCTGATATTTATAGTTTGGGGATGCTTTTTTGGGAGCTATCAAGTGGAAAACCTCCATTTGGTAATCTTTCAAGTTTACAAATATCAGAAATGGTTAAATCTGGTAAAAGAGAAGCATCCATTAATGGAACACCGGAGGATTATATCAAAATCTATTCCGATGCATGGTTAGACGATCCAAAGCAAAGACCAATTATAGAAGATATTTGTGATTCTCTTGAAAATATTCAATTCGAAAACATATATTATAGTTCTACCGAAATTTGTCAATCAAATAAACCTATGGAACCTTACAGTAGTGATTTTATATCATTGGGGTCAAATGAATCAAATAATCAAATTTCTTTCGGAGCTTCAATTAATCAAGAAAATTTAAGAATCGCAGGTATTTCTTTGATATTGATAAATTTATTTATTGTTATTTAATATGCATAAATTATTTATTGACCCTATAGAAATATGAAAAATATTCTATTGTATATGCTATCTATTATTTTCTAATCTTTTCAGTTCTAGGAAATCCTGGAGAAATAATTATAGAGTGAGTAATTTAATTATTTAAATTAAGACCGTAATCTGGAATCATAAGTTATTCAAATAATATTTTCGTTAATTAATTCAATTGATATTTCGGTAATATTAAACTTCCCTGATCAATTATCAATAATCAATCAATTGAACACATTATATTATTAGGGGGTGGGTATTTAAATTTATGATTATTAAAATAAAACGAATTAAATGTCAAATAAGCTAATCAATCGAATGTACCTAAATAATTAGACTGAAACAGGAATTACAAAAACACAAACAACAAAGTGTAAAGGATCAACAGGAATTACAAGAACTCAAGCGACAAACTGTAAAGGATCAACAGGAATTACAAGAACTCAAACAACATCAACAGGAATTACAAGAACAAACCGTAAAGGATCAACAGAAATTACAAGAACTCAAAGAACAAAATGTAAAGGATCAACATGAATTTCAAGAACTCAAGCAACAAACCGTAAAGGATCAACAGGAATTACAAGAACAAACCGTAAAGGATCAACAGGAATTACAAGAACTCAAAGAACAAAGTGTAAAGGATCAACATGAATTTCAAGAACTCAAGCAACAAACCGTAAAGGATCAACGGGAATTACTAGAACTTAAACAACAAATTATAGAATTAAGAGAAGAGAATGCAAAGTATCAGGTGGAAAATGTTCAATGTGAGGACTTGAAGAAAGATATTGAACAATTGCAAGAGACTTTATCGAAATACGTTACAGATTTACAAAATGAAGCATCATCTATTAATTATGATAATGTGAATAAACTTTTACAGAAATACGATTCACTAACAGTAATTGACTCATCTAATCCAGACAAAATCCTAATCAAAGCAGCTTTACAACGTCATTTGTTGGAAGAAATTTTCCATTATTCAAAAGAATATTTTAAAACTATTCAAGAAATGAATCATACAAATTCGCTTGTGTCAAATTTAACAAAAAAAACTGATCAATTATCGAATTTAATGATTCGATTTTTGACAGAGCATAATGATGACAATAGATTTACACTTGTCTCCAAAATAAAATTACGTAAACTTATTTATGATGTCCTTGGTAGACATGGATTTAATAATGATCATCCTTTTATCTTGGATGTTAGCCGTAAACTCATTAAATCCATAAACAAATATCACTCCACTAAAAATATTAAAAATAAAATTAAAGATCAAAAAATAAAAAACATCACATCTAATCTCATTTGTGATGTTATTAGAATATTCTTCTTTCGTTTCAATGTTCTAGAACCAATTCCTCTTTATTGTTTTTTCAAAAGTGGAGATAAAATCGATGAAACATTCATGAATGTAGTGGGAAGTTCTGAGGAACCTTATAGGGAAGTCGTGGATGTTTGTTCTTTCCCAATGATTGGAAAAGACTTGAGTGATCCTTCTAAACGTATGATACTTACAAAAGCCAAGGTCTGCTCACGAAGTGAGTAGGTGGTTCAAAAAAAAAAATGAGAGGAGAACTCAAAGAAAATTTATTGGTAATATTAGTAAGTTCGACATTTGTCTGGTCTTGAATCTAGTTCATTTTAACTTGTATTTTCAAGTTAATTCAGTTTGGTTTGATTTTCTAACTGAAGTTTCCGGGTGAAGCCTACTTAAAGATTTAACAAAAGGCAAAATTATATATATTATATATAAAATAGATTGTTATTATTATTATTATTTTTACAATTAAATTTATTAATTAGAGATATAAATTAGGTTGTTTAAATATTAATAATATATATTAATATGTATATTTGTATTTATTGTACTTATTTTATTAATGTGTATATTTTTATTTATTTATTGTACTTATTTTATTAGTGTGTATATTTGATTAAATTCAAGAGATTACCTTAAATAAAATTCAAGATTACCTTTAAATTATAATTTTTTAAATATAATTCTAGTATAGAAAACATTTTGCATGTCGAAATGGGGAAAGATTTGGAAGAGTAAAGGATAAAGCACTCATAGTATTTTAAAAGACTTAATCATTGGAGAAACAATTATCTCTCTTATACGACAAACAAAAGTATAATTATCAAATAATCAAATATTAGTTATACTATTATTAGTAAATTTATATAAGAAGGTAAAATAAATAAAAAAAACAGACTTACTTATCAACTTGTAACAGATGAAGGTATGCTCAATTTCTTAGATATACCAGTTCCCTTAACATATAGGGATGTAAACAAAACTGCCTTGTTCCAATTCCAGGTTCACTTGAAAAATAGAAACTAATAAAAAAATGATATCGTATATTTACCATTGTATATGCTTCCTGAAAAATTTATAGAAGATATATTAAGAGAAGAAAATGTCATGACTGTACATACTAGTCAAGGAATGAAAGCTCTGCGAAGGTTTAGATTATTGATAAACATTTGGCAATTTAATATATCTTGCAGTTTGACGTATAGAATATGAATTAACTTATTAGGATTGAAGGTCCTCCTCATTGATTCCTGAGATTAAAGAAAACTTGATAATGAAAAGGAAAATAAAATCGAAGAATACTAATTAAGATATTATATCAAGGCAAGAAGGAAAGTCGTGAATTAAACTATATTCTCATTGAATACGAAAAAAGTTCCGATCAATCGAATTGATAGCATAATGTGAATGCAATCGGAATCATAGAGTTTATGAACCAATATATTTTGATAAGAGTACAAGTTACCATCTTTATAATATTTTTTTTTACTTCTAGATATAATAAATATCTAAATCAAAATTTTCTGATTCAATAAATCCGGGATAGCGGACGGAATAATAATTATAATTATATAATATAATTTAGAGAGCCATGTTATCTTTTTCGGTTGACACCATCGATATATGAAATTACAGAAATAAGTTAATTAAGGCTTATAGATATTTCGATTCGATTAAACTTCGGAGACAAAGGTAAGTGAAATGAATTAATAAATTGCTTGCGATCCCAATAATCATTACGTAATGTGAGATATGAAAACAAATGGTCATCAATTATTTGGGTTTTTGTATACGAAGCTCGGAGATAATAGTATTATGGTCAAAATAAGAAATTATCAAATTTTTCACTTATTTTGTCCAAGACAGGACCGTGCGACATCATTAGATATTGGAATATTCCCGTAAATTTTTACTTTTTTTTTTTACATCAATTTCAGAAATTTAAGTCTATCCAAATTTTAATCAACTGACCCGTCAAGAATATGAACTAAATGTCAAATTTTCCTTCGATTTTCTTCATATGAAATTCCGCATCACACTCCTACTTATACGATGACTGCGGCGTCTTCCGATTACCTGGAATGTAACGTGAATTATACTAATTATACTAATTATACTTTTATTGGAGTTTGAAAAAAAAAGAAATGGTATAAAAATATCAGAATTTGAAAGAAAAGAAATGATATAAAAATATCAAAAATTGAAGGAAGATTTAATAAACAATTGGTAGAATTCGATCAAATAATTAAGCAATAGATTACTGCGGCTGAAAATAAATACTCATTCTTTTATTCGAGACCTTCAGTACAATTTTTGGAAAACATTTATTATGTTTAATCAAAAAAATTACGTAATTTGAGAACGTAAAAATGTTTCATCATTTCAAAAAGTCTGCAATTGGTAGAATTTTACTAAAAATATATAATGATTCTGACGATATAAATTTTATCTGACTTTGGTCCGTGAATTAGTAAAGAATTTCAGTCTGAAGTCATAGAATACATCAAGATTATTTTTTTATACGATATAAAACATGACCCTTTAGGGCGAGCCATCAGGGTTCAGTTTTATTAATATTTTTTTTTTTTAAAAAAAAAAAAAAATAAATTACATGATAAAAATAAAGGATAGTTTTTATTTCGATCCTCAAAAGATTGATTTTGATATTCACTAACTATCGACTGTACCAGTGGTGAACATGAGAAAAGTTTCAATGCATGATTAATGTTGAATGCAAGAGTTAATATATATTGCACTAACAAAAATTCAGTAACTAATTTACTCGCTACTATTTATTTCCAAAAAATTTATTTACGATATATGTCTTTAAAAGTGATGGATTTCGAAATAATTATAAATAAACTATTTTGATATCAAATATTGATTTTACGAGGCTTTCATTCCTTCGGTAATTTTTATATACATTCTTCACTTCCCTTGATTGTATAATTTCTTCACTAGAAATCTTGCATAATAATAATAATGTATAGTTAGTTAAAACTTGGTAAAAATAAAGGTAATAATACTCGCAAAAAGTATAAGTTAAATCCGAGCACCACCTAGATGAGGTCTTCTACTCGCACTTCTGTTGAACCGATTAACTAGATGGCCAACCAACAAAAACAAGACTGCGTTGAAGAGATCATAACCAGCATGATAATCTCCCCATGGTTGGTAAATGATGTCTTGGATGGGATGTGAATAAAAATAATAATTATGGCAATTGTTTGTTATGGGGGAATGGGTTATACGCTTATCTAATCTAAATAATTCGTGTAACAATTTAAATGACGTAAAATCAAAAAATTTTGATCGATTGATTGATCTTAAATCTAAGTTATCAACCACTCATATCTTCGTTTTGTATATCTTATATTTCTTAAAATAATTTAATAATGTCTGTTACAACAACATATGTGCCTATTGAAGATTCCGAAAATGTTCCTGACGTTCCTTTAGTGTTTATCTCAAATACCTACTTAGATGGTCTTACTGCTAACATGCGTTCACTACCTATTCCTTGGGAGGTAATTTCTCTCATTTATAATTTTTAATTTTTACAGGAAAACGTGGAATACAATAAAAAACAAAATACAGATTTTAAATATGATATATTACAGGGTTAATAAGTGTTAATACATTCGTAATATATATATGTGTGTGTGTGTATATTATAGGGTTTTAGAAGCACTTCACTTATTTCTCAAGAAGAATTTGAACTATTAAAACAAGTTGACCAGATAAGTCGGGAACATTTTAAAACTTTGATGAATAAGGAAGCGAAAAAGTATGCGGAACTATTTGTAAATATCTTAGGAAAATTCAATCGGGTCGATCCTCAACAATATGTTTTAGTTTTAATTGGAGATATGCTTTCAGGTAATGTGTATATATATATATATATATATATATATCAAAAGGTGATTTTCTTTTTTTTTTATCTCTCCTCTTACATTTTCAATTTTTTATATCCCTTTTAGATGATGAAAAGCGTACAGTATATTTTCATGAACTTTCCGAACAAAATCCCGAACTTCCTTATCGTCCATTCTTAAAGCAAGTCTGATCTTTCTTTAATAAAATATCTATCTATTCATCTATTTTATCTATCTCTACCTATTTCTATATATGTATATATTAACCAAACGTTTTATTATTATTATTATTATTGTTATTTTTATTATTAGGTTATTACACGGTGATGATGAATTTGTTCCATTAAAATCCGCCAAGATTTTGACAATGTTGATATGGTACAAAGTCTTTGGTTATATACATGTATTATGTATTTTCTTTGTCTTTTTTTTTTTTTTGTAATTTATAATGTTTAACAACGATGATGACTAAAACTAAATATTTAAAATATATTTGATATTTTATTTTTATTTTTATTTTATTTTATTTTTTTTTTAGTTCAGCCGATAAACCTCTACCATTCAACATTAATGAATTCTTTCGTTGGATTATCTTAAAACTTAAAAGTAAAAATCCTCAGGTTAATGATTTGACGGTTCAGATTTTAGAATCAATTTTAAGAGTTCCCGTTCATCGTTTGGAATTTTGGAGTTTGATTCAAGGTGTAGACGCGTTAGTATTATAATTTAAAAATGGTTTCATTACACATCATATTTCTTTTTTTTATTATAAGATTTCTAATCATTGCATTTTATTTTTTTTTTTTATTATTATTATTAAAGTTTGGCTAATATTTTAAAAGCCAAAAATCCCAACCCTCAAATGCAATATCAAATAATTTTCTGTTTTTGGTTATTAACTTTTGAAAAAATTGTTGCCGAAGAATTTAATAAGTAAAATCTCTTATTATTATTATTTCTATTATTATTTATAATTATTATTATTATTATTAGTTGTTACTATAATTATTATTGTTATATATATATATATATATATATTTATAATTATTTATTATTTATTATTATTTATTATTTATTATTATTTATTAATTTAGAAAATATGATTTGATTCCCACCTTGATTAATATTGCCAAAAATGCCATAAAAGAAAAAATAATTCGCGTCGTTATTGGGACTTTTAGGGTATACTTTTTTTTTTTATCTCTCTTTATTTTATTTTATTACATTAATTGATTTTTTATTTATAATTTACTAATTATTTATTTATAATTTATTAATCATTATTATTATCATCATCATCATCATTATTATTAGAACTTGGTAGAAAAAGCACCCGAAGCAAATTTACCGGCAATGTTAGTCGCCAAACTATTAAACTTTTGTGAAAATTTATCTGCTCGGAAATGGTCGGATTCCGAAATTGTGGAGGATATCGAATTTTTAAAAATTCAACTTCAAGAAAATTTCCATAGTTTGACGTAATTATATTTTTTTTATCTTAATACTTGAAATTTGTTTAATTGTTATTATTAATTATTTTTTAACTTGAAATTATTATTATTATTATTATTATTATTATTAATTAGAACATTTGATGAATATGCATCAGAAATTCAATCCGGGATGTTACAATGGTCACCCCCTCATGAATCAGAACAATTTTGGAAACAAAATGTCAATAAATTAAATGAAAGGGATCGTGATTTATTAAAGTACATCCATCCATCTCTATCTCTCTATTAATTAAGAATTTTTTTTTTTAAATTTTAATTTTCATAAATTAATTTATTTATTTTATTTTATTTTATTTTTTTGAATTTTTTAGAATTTTGGCAAGGTTACTTGTCACTTCAAGTGATAATACAGTTTTGGCAGTAGCTGCACATGATTTAGGACAATATGCTAAATATTATCCTAATGGGAAAAAGTATGATAAAATGATTATTTATAATTATTATTATTATTATTATTATTTTAATTTAATTAATTAATTGATTTTTTTTTTTTAATTGAATTCTTTTTTGATTTTTTAGATTTTTACAAGAGATTGGAGCCAAACAACGAATAATGGAATTAATGACTCACGAAGATCCGGGAGTTCGATATCAATGTTTGATAGCGGTACAAAAATATATGACTCATGCTTGGGTTGTTTAGAATCATCTTTATTTAGTTAGTTATTTATTTATTTATTTATTTATTTCAATATAAATATATTTCAAATATTCAAAATATTTCCAATATTCAAAATATTCAAATATTTAAAATATTTATTTCAATATGTTCAATATTTCATTCAATTATGTACATCAATATATATATATATATATATATATAATATGCTGCTTATACTGTATTATTATTATTATTATTATTATCATTAAATTAAATTAATTATTTCATCTAATAATAGAAAAAAAAATTATTATTATAATAACTATATAAAGTACTTATTAATGATTTGATTGAAATGATATTTTTTTTTTGATTAATAATATATTTTGATAATTATATTTTAGATAATTATATTTTAGATAATTATATTTTTGATAATTATATTCTTGATAATTATATCTTGATAATTATATCTTGATAATTATATCTTGATAATTATATTTTTGATAATTATATTTTTGATAATTATATTTTTGATAATTATATCTTGATAATTATATCTTGATAATTATATGAATATAATTCTGAATTATTATATATTTGTGAAAAAGAAAAAAAAAAAGAAAATATTATTATTATTTTGCACTTTTAATGAACTTAATTTTCTCTCAATTAAGTATATTTATTTACTAATTATTTTTAGCTTCCCCGTTTTAACTTTTTTTAAAAGAAAAAAAATGAATAATCGTTCTCTACTCTTAAGCATAAATCATAATAAAAATAATAAGAAAAGGGAAAGAAGAAAAAAAAAAGATTTAATAAACTGGATACATTTGTGAGTGTTGATTGTTAAAAACAATAAATCTTTTCAATATAATATCCAGTCAAAATTTTAGTAAATCTTATATACTAAATCTTGGTCAGATAATCATAAGAAGATTCCATATTATATATTCAAATTTCCCATTTCCTTAAAATTGTTATGTTAAAGTTGTTATTAAGAATAATGATAATAAAAATTTCATATAAAAGATTGTCAATATTCATTTGATAATAACAATTATTATAATTAATTAATTAATTACTATTGTAATTATAATAATAATTATTATTATTATAAATTTGGTAATCGAATTCCAATTTCTTTATCAAAAATCTTTTTTCCTTCGTTAACTTCGGGTTTAAGGATTCGACCAATTCCTTCTAATAACATCGTTCGTGAATCAAGTAATGGTTTCACATCTTCAAGAGATGGTGGCGGTTTTTTCTTTTTCGTTTTAGATACTTTCCCATTTTTATCTTTTTCGGGCTAAATTATTAAATTATTAAATAAATAATAATCAATAATCAATAATAATAATAATAATAATTATTATAAAAATAAACAATTTATAATATAAACAAATCAACAAACAATGAGTAAACTATAATATATATTTTATATATATATATATATACTTACAAAACGAGCTAAATAATTTTCTTCAATTTGAGCATCAATATCATCTAAATAGGTGGCGTATTGAAGGTATGCTATTTTATCTTTTACTTTTTGAGCTAAAACCGTTTTACGATAATTATTAATTTTCACTTGTTCTTTTAATTGTTCTTGTAATGCTCGTAACTTAATACTTAATTCATCATCTTCTCTTTCATCCCATCGTACCTATTATTATTATAATATTAAATTATTATATTAAATTATTAAAATTGAAATTGAAAAATATATAAATAAATAAATAAATATATATATATATATATATATATATATATACAAATGATATATATAGTAATAATATACTAACATCTTGTTCATCCATTAAATCTAAAGCTTTTAATTCTCTTCTTAATCTATCATCCATAACAATATTTTCATCTTTTTTTTCATCTTCCTCTCCTAATGATTGTTCTCCACCACCTCTACCTCCTCCTTGATCTCCACCAGTATTATGATTAGTGACATTAATTTTGACTTGTAATTCATCATCTTCACTCACAATCATTCCATTACTATTATTCTTATTATTATTCTTATTATTATTATTCTTACTACTACTACTATTACTATTATTATTATTATTCTTATTACTACTATTATTATTAATATTATTTAAAGTTGTTGTTGTTAATCCATTCATTTGAATTTCTTCTTCTTCTGGTGGAGTATTAATTAAAGTAATAGGTTGAGGAGATTCTAAAAATGCACAAAGTAATCTTTCAGTTAATGGTCCACAAGAATTTCGATCTTCCAACCCACTTATTATTCCACCACTTCCACCTCCTCCAATTCCTATTCCTCCACAACCACTTCCACCTCCTATTCCTGTATATCCACCACTTGTTGTATATCCACTTCCTGTTGTATATTTTCCTCCCGTATATTTTCCTCCTATATATCTTCCTCCTGAGGTATTATTATTATTATTATTTGAATTTCGATTATTATTATTATCTAATAATAATAAATCATTTTGTTTAATTTCAAGTTCTTCAGGAGTTTGAGGAAGTAGTTTACGTTCTTCTTCAGCCCATACTTCTGTATAATGTCTTCCTAATTTGGGTATTATGTACGGTGTTACATCTTCATTCTGTAACTTTTTTTTTTTTTTCAATTATAAAATTATAAAATTATTTTTTTACAAATATAAATACAAATATAATAACAATAATAATATAATAATACAAAATATCATATCAATTAAAAATCATTATATGAATTTTACCTTCGTTTCCAGAAATTCAACATCATCTTGAGTATAATCTCTAACGTAAGGTTCCACGTATTCATAAAAAGTTTTGATTGTCACTTGATCTTTCGATTTTATAATTGGAGTATTATCTTCTTCCACTTTAGGAACAGTTTCCGAAGTACTTCGTTTTCTTTTTTTGTAGGTACCTCTTGTTGATGACGATGATATGGTTGATGTGGCAAATGTCGTTGTCGTTGTTGTTGATGATGATGATGATGATGATGACGATGATGATATGGTTGTATTATTAGAAGTAGTTGTTGTTGTTGTAGTTGTTGATGATGATGTTGTTGTTGTTGTACCCTGTGAATAATTTATTTAATAATGATGTTGCAACTAAACAAAAAAAAAACGAAATAAAAAAAAAGAAACAAATGATGTGCGAATATATTTAAAAGATGGGTTTTCTTTTTAACTTAATATTATTATAACTATTATTATTATTATCATTATTATTATTATTATTATTATTATTATTATTATCATTATTGTTAAATTATTTTTGTTATTATTATTATTATTTTGTTGTTATTTGTTATTGTTGTTATTTTTTATCATTATTATCAACATTATCAATATTATTAATATTATCAACATTATCAATATTATTAATATTATCAATATAATCAATATTATCAATATTATCAATTATCAATATTATCGTTATTATAATCATTATCATTATTTTGTTATCATTATTATAATAAAGTAAATTAATAATTAAAAATATTCACCATATTATTATTTTTAGCAGTTCGACTATTACTTAATGTGGTTCTTGAATCTTTCTTACGTGGTCTTTCGAAATCTGTATAATCACTATCATCATCTATTATTTCTTGTTTAGTTCGCTTCTTTCTATTCGATCCACTATAAAATTAATTTAAAAAAGGGAAGAAGTTAGAATTAATAAAAATTATTTTAAAAAAAAAAATAAGATTAAAAATTAAAAAAAATTAAATAAAATAAAATACGTGTTGGTTTTATATGATTCTTTTCGATGAGAAGGAGTCGGACTATAAAGATCATCTAAATTTCAAAATTTATAAAAGTCAAAAAAAAAAAAAAAAGTTAAAATAATGAATGAATAAAATTAATCAAATCAATTAATTACCTGATTCCTCTTTTTTAATCTTTAAACTCATCGGTGATCCTTTTTTCTTGGATCCTTTTTCTTTCGTTTTAAGTACATTAGGACTAACTGATCGATTATTATTATTACTATGAACACTCGGACTTCCTAAACGACTATTATTATTACTATTGTTATTACTATTATTATTATTATTATTATTATTATGACTATGATGTATAACACTTGGACTATTTAACCTATTATGAAGATTATGAACATTATGAATATTATTAGGACTTTTACTATTTCTATTATTATTACTGGTGACTGTCGTTGTTACTGCTGCTGCTGTTGTGGCGGAGGAGTTTAATGTTATTGAATTAGAAGAAATGGGAGTGGAAGAAGTGACACCGACACCAACTTTATTATTATTATTGTTTTTTGATGATATTAATTCCCCACCATTACCACCATGTAAAATAGATCCAAGAACTGAAGAAGAAGAAGTAATAGAAGAAGAAGAGGAAGTAGGTCCACCAATACCAACACCAACGTTATCACTACCTTCTAACTCTTGTACTAATTTTTCTAATACTGCTCGTTTGTTTGATGAACTTGATAAAAAAGTTTTTAACTCTTTTTTTATGTGTTGTAATTCGGTTTTGTCGACTTTACTTGGATGGATTCCACCTTGAGAAATGGAAGAAGGAAAAGAAGTAGAAATAGCGCTCGAAGAAGAAGAAGAAGAAGTAGAAGTGGAAGTAGTGGAAGTGGAAGTTGAAGAAGTAGAAGAAGTAGAGGATGCATGTCCACTACTACCATTATTACTACTATTGTTAGTATTAGTATTAGTATTATTATTATTGTTATTACCACTATTACTATTACTACTATTCCTAAACGAGATTTTTTTATATTCTCTTTTTCTTGCTTTCATTTGAAATTTTGGAAAACTATTCTTAGGATCGGAAATAGTTAGGTTACTCATATTTCATAAAATTTTAATCAAAACGAAAAAATAAAATTAAACTCAGTTCGAAAAAAAAAAAAAAATTTATTATACATTACAATACAATATTAAATTTTTACTAATCTACTACTACCTACTATAATAATATTACTACTATCTACTATAACACTACTACGATCTGCTATCTATCGATCTAACATTAACATTTTTTGTATAATATAAATTGGTGTCGAATTCTTTTGTCCATTTCATCATAATTATGTATAATTCTTTTGATTTCCCGAAATTTTGTATTTCTTACATTTAAAATCAATGAACATTATCTGGTAGATGATTTTTTCGAACGTATACAAAATAACATTTTTTTAAACATTTTTTAACATTTTTTTAAAAATCTTTCATTCATATGTAATAAATAAACATCTCAACTCTCAAATCACGATGGCATTCTGTTATTTTTTTTTTTTTTTAAGAAAAAAAAAAAGAAGAGGAAATTATTTGAATCAAATATTTTCATCACGGTTTAACACGCAAAAATATATAATTATTTTTGACTTAAAATTCATTATGTAATCAAATTAATTCTAAAAAAAACTTCACATTCAAATGATTTTTTGTTTTTTTTTTCATTTTGGGGTATAAAGTCATCTATCTGCATCACAAATAAATTGGAATTATTCATTTTGATTTAATTACGACACAATTAAAATGAATTGTAAATAATTTAAATCATTTACAATCTGTTTAAGCAAACATTTCTTATAAAAGCATCACATAGGAAAATTAATTAATTTATATACAAGAAATTGAACTTTAAAAAAGGTACATAAAAGATGCATACCTTAAATAAAAGAAAACACAACGACACAATAATATATGGTTCGTTGGTAATTGGAATCAAAATTCTTTATATGTCCATATAATCCTTTCATATGACAAATTTTGTAATCCCTAAAACATATTGATACTTGATATATTTGAACTATTCTATTGTTTCAACATAATTTTCATCATTTTTTTTTCTCTTGACAAAAATCTTAAGTTGATCTCCAAAAAAAAAAAAGTATTGTGAATGCTGTTCAACAATAGCAAAATAAAAGTTTGTCCGTATTATAATGTCAACCTCCTCTGCACATATTTATGAGATTATGATAATCGGATAATCCCATTCTTATTATTATTATTATTATGAAACTACCAACGAGTGATTGAACGAGAATAAAATAAAATATCCAAATTCAAAAAATTTTTTTTTATTTTGATTAAATTTTGCGGGAGAGAAGAAGTCTGACAAATATCTCAAAAACTTTTTGTTGAAATTGTTCCGATATAAATATAAAACCTCCAGAAATCGACGAATGGCAAATATGGCATCCCACTGGACAGCAAAGTACTCTCGTCAACCATTTTTTTTTAACAAACCTTGTCGCGAACCCGCTCCTACAGTCAGAACTAGGGAGCGAACATACAAAGTTTCGTAGGACTTACAAGGCCTGGAAAAACGTCTGGAGAAACAGATACATTTATTAAAGTAGATGGAAATAAATTATGACTCCACATGTGAAATTTCTATGGGTAAATTTATCCTATCACAATTGTGTCATATCACGTGGATAATTTAAAGCCTAACCCTGGTTCAGGCAAATTATTCTAGACCCTTCTTTTTTTTAGTGATAGTGTAAAAAAATTAATATTTATTATTAAATAAGAAAAAACCAATTGCCTTTATATTTTTTCACAATAAATTTTTATTCAAATACATTTTAAGTAGGTTGTCCATATAAAACCAACTACTTGGTTGAGGTTTTTTGGTAGTAGTTGAAGGAACAGAGTAAATCACAAAATAAATGCACAACTACTTTTGCTTCTTTAGGATTGTGTGAAGCTCTGAAAATTTGGCTTGCTTATGCTTGCTTACCAATAAGCGAGAGTAAGTAATGGTAAAATTACTGGTAGGTTAATTAGATATTCTACAATTTTTATTGTTTATACTTCGTATTAAATAATAATTTTTAATAAAGTCAATATTTGTGGGATCATAGTGTTCCAAAAAAAATTTTTTTTTTAATGGTATAGGTTGAAATTCTTTTTTTTTTTTTCAGAATAATTTTATTGGTTAATAAATATCCAATTAAATGGATTTTTTAAACAAATTTTATTTTATTGACAGTTAAAAAATCGTTTACACCATAAAATAAGATTATGAAAATAGCTTTAATGAAATGTTAGTAATTGAATAATATATCTCTTGAGTAATTTTTTACATTATGATCCGTCTTAATCAAATGCACATCATCATCATTATTATTATTATTATTATTATTATTATTATTATTATTATTATTATTATTAATTTTTTAAAAATTGTTGTTCCGGTTAACAAATGGAACAGGAAGTTCCAATTAGATTGATCCTTTACAAATAAACCAAACAAAAGCTTTGTCATCGCAAATAAATTGTTGGATTACGTGCTTCATCTTTCACAGTAATAGTGGATTGATCGATAATTTGACCATTGTGTTCAATCAAAACTGATTTACCAACAAAGCTATCAAATAATACCGGAAAACCAAGTGTAAAAGAATTAGTGCCAGGTGGCGTGATTTGTATACCGAAAGTAAGGAAGGTGTCCTCTACACCATCACCAATTTTTAAAACGTAATTACGAGGATTAGAATCCGTGATGCCTTTTGTGAACTGTCCATTCACTCCGGTACCACCAGTGTCAAGTTTTGTGAAAGTTAATGATCCCCCGAGATTATTGAATGTAGTAATGATTTTGGTACCAGTGGCGAGGTCACGACGTATGAAATATGCGTGCGAAGATACAAGAAAGAATACGAGTATAGATAAGGTTATTAAAAATGAAAAAGGTTTACTTTTTTTTAGAAACATTTTTTTTTTGTGTAAGTTGTTTAATAATAATCAAAAAAAAAAACGATATTGGTTGTTTCTAAGGTTGCTAACGAGTTCAACTGATCTATAAAGATGTTTGGCTTCTCAGGGAGAATTTAAAAAACTGCTCTTTTATATTTAATTTTTACTTACAACATTAGTCTACAAAAAAATTAATGTATTATAAAATCAATTTCATAGTAAATTTAATAACAAAGATCTAAAAAGAAAGGGTTACTTGAAAACTATTTAATTAGCTATATTTAGTTCAATATTTAAAATATTTATTTTGTAATATTTTTTTTAATTAATTATTATTTATTATTATATATTATTATTATGATGCCGAAGAGGAGCCGAGGGCGACCTGTTTTCGGTCTATTTTCGAGACTACTGGTCTCTTTTTTTTTATTTATTTATTCTAGATACAGCTGCGTAGTGGATTCTTTACGAAATGCCCTCTTCGAGCAACTACTCTATCCCGAATCTCAGCAGATATTATTTTTTTTTATAAAATAAAATCTAATACTATTGGTGGAAGGTTTTTTTCTTAATACGGAAAAGCCGATTTATTATTATTTATTAAAAAAATAAATTTAGGTTAAAAAATAATTTTATTATAAACCGCAATTAACATCAAGTGACACAAATCTAAAATCATGATAATCGATATAAATAAATAACATAAAATTTTTTTGCAGTCCTTTTTTGAGGCACTGTAAGCATTGAAAATGTTTATGTGGGCAGGAAAACCTTGTTTCTTTATTGTTAAAGCTACAAAAAAAAAGATTGGAAGGATAGGATCCGCTGTAGATTTTGAGGTAACTTGAATTTAAAAAAAGTATATTCACGAATGAATAAAAAATTATGAATGTAATTTAATAAAAATATTAATAAATTTTTGATTTCCTGACCTGATTATTATATTAACCAGAATGAACTTAAAAGACTCAATGATTATATTAATTTACCACCAGGTCAAAGGAAATTAAGTTTACCAACTAGAAGATGGGATCCAGTAATTTCAATCACAGGATTTCGTAATTTAACTGATGCTCGGAGATTTGAAATATTTGTTGAAAATACTTTCAGATCGGAATTACCTATAGAAGAAATATCGGACTTTAAACAATTTAAATCAGAAGAATTTCCTCCATGCGTATATAAAAGAATCGTAATAGCTAGAAAATTATTTAGAGAATTTTTTACCGAAAAATTACCAGTTGAACAACCAAAAATTTGGAAAAAATGGGAAATCCATTGGTCTCCAAAGTTAAGTAAAGAATTATTAAAACAAGCACAATTTGGCTGGGACATTGAAGAATTTAGAAAGACTCAATCTTTTGTTAAAGTATCTGACAATGATGATAATAATAAAAATCAAGAACAAAGGTACAAAACAAAATTATACACAATTCAACATAAAATAATGAAATTTGATGATTTTGTTCCATGGGATGATATTTTGAAAGAATGGAGAGAGTTGAAAGGGGAAAAAAAGCATTTGGATCAACATGTACAAATTAAAATGAAAAAAGAAAGACTACCATTTAGGGAGCTGAGAAGTCTTCAACCTCCTCCACCAAAAGATCATTGGTTTAAAGTAATAGATGATGATGAATAAAAAAAAATATATTTCCAGAAAATATATATATATATTAATTATAATTATTCAAAAGTTTTTTTTTTTTTATATTGTATATTCAATACATTTCTTTATTTAATTTTATCAAAATAATATTTGTTAGAAATAAAAATTATATAAAATAATAAGAAAATCAATGAACAAAAAAAAGCTCAAGTCAAAAATTTTTATTTACAAAATCAATAATATATTTATCTTAAAAATAATAATAGACTAATATTACCTTGAGAAAAAAAACTTATAACCAAAGTTCTACAAGAAAATCATGTAATTTATCAATAGTCAAATACAAAAGAATCACTGTACCAAATGGTGATTCCTATATTAAAATTAGAATTCCTATACTATAGATCAGTTAAAAATTGACAACAATCAACCATCTTATTGCATTCTATATTATAAATCAGCCAAAATCGGAATTCCTTTTTGACCTGTGTAGTCAATATAATAAAAGCTCAAACTAATAACTTTGTGGATTACTTCAATTTCTAATAACTCCAGTTAATCAATAGAAACAGATTACCATGGACTTTATCATAAAATTATCAAAAATCTCTTGGAATTATGATACAATTATTGTTTTTTGTAATTATTTTTCAAAGAGATCACACTTTATTCCTCACTACAATTATTACTACATTAAAAGTTGTAAAATTATTTTTTGATAATATTTTTTGTTTACATGGACTTTCTCAAACTATTATTTCTGACTGAAATTCACGATTTACTAGCAAGTTTTGATAATCTTTATTCAAATTATTAAATACCAAATTATCAATGTCTATTATTTTTCACCTTCAAACAGATGAACAGACTGAGAGAATGAATTGAACCCTTGAAAAAATATTACAAGTCTATATCACTTACTATCAAAACCAATGGGATGAATGTTTATCTGTTGCCAAATTCACATATAATAATGCACAACAATCCTTTACTAAAATGATAACATTTGGACAACACCTTCTAACACCTTTGAATTTGGATACTAATGTAATTACAAATGACACCACAGCTATATCTTACATGGAAAAATAATATACAACGATTCTATATTTCATTATTGAAATTATACTGAGAAATTACAGATAATTTTAATTATGATTATCACTATTACCAGAATGATAATCAATTAACCAAAGAATATGAAATTAAGAAGATTCTAAATATTAAATACAAGTAAAAGAAACTATATTATTTAGTCAATGGAAAAGATATCAACTTTATAATGCCATTTGAAAACCTGTAAACTATTGTCAAAATGATTAGAATAAACTTTTACTAGTAGAATTTGCATGTGACAATTCAAAAAATGTTTTTACTGAATATACCCTTTTGAAATAGATTTGGAACAATATCTAAATATACCTTTAACTTTTGCTGAGAATAACAAAATTATATCTGAATTATAGCATTAAAACAGACAATGGAAGAATATAAGACAAGATTTAATTCCTTAGAAAGCGCTATAGAAAGTATTAAATCTGAACCATGTTCCACAAATTGTTGCAATTGTAGCTGTTAGCTATTAGCATGTTATTATTACTTATTATTCGAGTAAACTATAACAAAAAAGTTAATGTAACTACCATATGACATTTTTTTGTTGTCGCATATTTCACCTTTGTATCTTACTAGTTTCATTAATGTAATAGATGCTATGTGAGAAATAAAGTTTTCCTGATGCATGGGGCAGTGACAAAGAAATTGATCACCTATGTAATAGATCTGATAGGGAGTGGTATAATTAATTAACGATAACAATCAATAGAAAGATATGACCAATGTCACGTTTATTTGTTGCATATAACTGATCATTGATAACCTAGCAAAGAGATAGACAGTTAATGACATAAAAAGTTGATTGGCCATCCACACCCATTAATCAATGTAAAATTATTTGGTAACGTGCAACTGTTGGATAAGAGTAATATCAGAGAAATGGCCATGCAAATTTACTATATCAGATATGTATATGATCGAGGATTTTTCATGTGATGTGATGACGATCTGATCACTCATTCTTTGTCATTGATTGCCCACCCAATTTACCACCATACCAAACAGGTGAAGGCTTCTTCCATTTTCTCTACTATGTAAAGTATCTGAAGTTACCTTCACCTATCACCCTTATACTGGATGCTACTTTTTTACAATTTTCTTGTTAAAACTCAATACATTTTTGATACCATCAACTAACTGTACCTGACCACTTACCATGTAAAATGAAGTATTCTTCCATTTTATATACCCAATTACTACCTATCCAAAATGAAGATATTTTCCATTTTTATATAAATATATTACCAAAGTTACCTTCATCTGTTATCAAATACCGGAATCATGTTTTCCTTGCCAATATTCAATGCGATTTTTGTATACAATTCACTACATTTGCACCTGGCCTAGCTTCTCAAGCTTTTTCCTATGATACCCCAACCTTGCCAGATATTTTTTAGCTAGATTTGGAAATGCTTTTGTTGTACCTTTAGCAGTAATTATATCACTAATTGCTTCAGGTGATAAGCGTGTAGCACCTGATCTTAATCTTCTAATTGTTTATATACGCAGAAAAAATAAGTTATATCATTTCGGAAAAATATAATCGGAACCTTTAGTTTTACTAAAGAAGTTAATATGCACAGATAAAATGATCTGAATTTTTGTATGTTTTTTTCTCGCTACTTAAATCGCAGTAATATCCAGCGTCATTATCATCAGAAAATGTTACACTAACCACTGCTGGCATATTTTCATGCTTCTACTTCACGACTTTACCTTATATTTTACAGCAAAACTAGTTTTATGTTAATAAAGTTGAGTAGATAAATAAGTAGATTTTCATATTATATCAGTAAAGCAGTCGGCAAAAAAAAGACATTTTTCCAAATAATATTAATAATTTTATTAATTTAACATATGATAATAAAACGCATTGAAAATTTTATCTCTGTTTTAAGCAAAGTGTCTATAGTATTAGCAATGAACAATTTCAACAAATACAATGCAAGGCAATGTTGAATTTCAAGTTACGACTACATCTAAGGTTGAGAAATTACATTAAGCACAACGTTGAATTCAACTATCCAATGACATTTTAGGTCGAGGTGTTCGTTCCAATTCATTTTATAATAAACCAGATTGCTATTCACATTCCGCAAATAGATAATATACGGGGCCCTAGTAGGCATTTCAAGTGTTGGAGTTGCGGGTGTCGTAACAACCCATGGATTTGGGTTCTCGGGAAAAGGATTGGTTGCAGATGGGATAGCAATTCCGACATATTCGATATCGGCCAAGTATTGTCGAATTAAGTCAATCTTAGATAAAGCAAGACTACGATCAGGATCTCGGTTATAGAAAACCTAAGTGGATTCGAATCTGATAAGCGAAACTGTATATTTCTTTTTCAAAAAAAAAAAATTTTTAACATAATTACCTCTATCCATACGTTTGGTGGTGGGCACGAGTTTGCAATGGGTCTTGAATTTTGTGCAAACGTTAAGGTCCGAAACCAAATGCCAACGTCAGGTCGAAAATTATTACCTCCCATCACACATATCATATCAATATTTACATCCCAACTCGGATCTTGCATCATAGCTGAATGTGCCAGATTGAAATGGGTTTTGGACCTATGACCTCCATTATACTATATGATATTGGTGAAATTAATAATAAATGATATATACCGTGGTATGTAAGCTATAATGAAACTCACTTTGATGAATAGGTCTTTTCCAATTATCTCGGCGTCATATCTTTCATGTATCGCTTCGCGGACATTGACATTATCCAGTTTATAGGTGGACAGGCTGACTTTGACAACATCTTCCTTTTGCTCCGGCGTTAATGATTCCAGTGACGTGTCAATATACATAAAGATCTATTGTATTGTGGCCATTAGTCATACTTTCTGACATTATTATAAACACTACCTAAATACCATATCAATTACATTATCATAAACACTATTTAAATACCATATTAATTTGAGAGGTTTGTCTAGTCTCCCGGGTCACCATAGATATTTCTGAACATTCTAATTTGATGCTCATATTGATTAATTTGATGGATTCGGGAAACAAGATAGAGAAAAAAAAAATAAAAAAATAAATTGTATGGATCGCCTTTATACCCATATTTTTCTATTATCTGGTTATCACAAATTATCACGCAATCTTTCTATTATTATACTGGAAATTTCGAGAACTATATTACGGTCAATGTGTCTGAGTTTAAAAAAATATGAAACTAAGATCAAGTCACGTAATGCAAAAATAATTTAATATTAATATAGATTAATAAAGTAACGGGTTTATATGCCGTGACATGTGAGCATGACTGCCTAATATTTGCTGTACTACGATTGTTAATAAACTTGAAGACTTTGAGTCCAATGTATTTTTACGCTGAAATATAAACCGTATATTAAAGTTAACAGATGCTAATAGATGGGTAACGAAAAAATATGAGTTATATATTAAACACTTGTCTGCAATTTATATATTAAGTTTTAGATATTATGGATTGATTATAGATCGAAAATTTGGGATGCTTGATTAACGAAACACTTAATTTTTTGTATTCTTTCCGGAATAACCTTTTCTGGATTTTCATCATACCATACCTCAAGAAAAATTCCTTTATCTTGGCATATGCATCTTTTTAGATGATCACGATTAACAATGTCTACGAGTTTTTTAACATCTTTATACCAGCTTGTATTATGAAATCGATGCTGACTACCTTGCACTTCTAATGCAATTTGATGTTTTTGAAAAAAGGCGTCAAATTCTAATCTATTTAAAAACGGAGGACGATATTCAATTATTGGTTCTTCATTAAGAATTTCTTTGGCTATTTGAATACATTTATTCTGGAACTTACGATTTTTCTTAGATATCTGTTTTTGTTCCAAGTTTGTGATTCTATATTTAAGCTCAATATTATCAGTTTTAAGATTCATGGTATCCATTTTATATCACTCCAATTCCACAATTCTAGCCATAAGCTCATCTTTCTCTTTCACAGTTTGCTCCAATTCCGCGATTCTAGCCAAAAGGCTGGCATTCTCTTGTTTCAATAGATCTAGTTTGGATTTGGTATTTTCCATTGTTTTGTATAAGATACAAATATATTTAAATAAAATTCATGAAAAAATTATTGATTACACATCTACATTACACGAAAAATAACACATGATCAATTGTACGTTCCTCTAACCATTAATAAATATATGATAAAAAATACATATAAAAATACAGGATAAATAAAAATCTATGGATAATCATCTCATGGTGTAGTAACTGTTGTACTCCCTTCCTTTAATCTTTGAGATGATGTTGTACCATGATATAGCAGAGATAGGTTAGTAATTATTAAATTACACAAAAGTAATAAAGTTTCTATAAATTTATATACATCCCTTTCATCTGAAAATTGTACTGGGATTTCAACAGACCAGAGATGATAATATCAATGTACATTTCTCATATCTCAAACAAGTAAATTTAAATGTAACTCATTATCTGCAATTTGTATGCCTACAACACCAAATTGATCCTTATCTGGTTTAAGAGTCTGGTGTACCCAAAAAAGTCCATCATTACATTCTCTCCATAATTAAACATCATCATCAATCTTTTTTTGAGTGATACAAATTAAGCGGGAACATTCAACATACATAAGTTCAAAAATTGTTTCCTGATATTTTGCAACAAACATGATATCTAGATGTCTTTCCATAAATTCATCTCCTTTTCTATTAGCACTGGAGACACTTTGTTTTTCCAATGTACTAATGAAAAAGGAATCACCAATAGGAAGATTTTTTAATGATTCTTGAATTGTTGGTAATATGATAGTCAATTGATATGTCCCCTCACTTAACATTTTTGTGAATTCAGAACTGAAAACAGAATTGTTTCAAATATCTTTTAAAATACTAAGAATATTCTTTAGTTACATTTGCAATACTTTCTTCAGACTCTTTCCAAGTTCTACCATGAACTAATTTAGTATATATTGGTTTATCTTCAAGTTTATTAAAATTTGTTACAAACTTATTACATATTTCCTGAACAATAGTAAAGGGTTTAGGTGTCATTTTGCAAGTAAGTTTCTAGCTTGACAAGTCAAGTTTCAAAAAAATATATAATATACCATTAGTGAATAAAACATATTTATTTATAACTACTTTGTAAGCATGAAGTGAATTCTAGCTTATAAAAACAAAATCTTATCATAAATCCCTTTTTTAAATTTCCAGACAATTGATTTACAAGTTCTGATTTATTACTAATAACCTGACTAGCTAAAGAATCCTTCCAATCCAATTTTGTAATATCTATATTGGCTATATCTAAATATAAATGACAATATAAAGGACTTAAATTTCTTTCGAGTTTTTCTTTTAATTTATTTACATTATTATCAATTTGTTCTAAACTAAGAAGTTTTTCTTTATTTATCTTGATAATGCTGAGGCCATACAAAATGAAAACTTCTTTAAAGGTATCTTCAAACTAAAAAAAATAAAACATTAGTTTCAGTAATATAATTATTTTGTAATCACTAGTCAAATACATCATTAAATAATACTTCATATTATCAGTACATATGTAAAGTTATTATTTTTGTGCAGCCAACACACCAATAAAATTCTGTGTGGTACTAATTTACTACATAATAATATAACTTCATTATCCTTCATACAGGCAATAAATTATTCTCGTCAATAGGCTAATAGAATAAACTACACTATTGCATAACAGTCTATAGCTTAAATATCCCTTCACTGTTAAGCAAGTATTTATCGTAAGATGGTTAATAAGATAATTAAGCTATTTTTCGATACTTTTATACTGATCTATATTGAAATATTTTTTATAATAAATACATAGTGTTATCATATAATTACAAATAATTACAAATAATTACAAAATAAAAAAATATGATAATTAACCTGTGAAAGAACCTTAATAAGTTTTAATTGACATAAGAAGGTATTTGAATTTAAAGTACTAATATATTCCATAACTCAATTGACAATTGATCATAACTTGATTGTGAGATCCATAGATTTTCTTCTAATCCTTGATAAATAGCTGCAGTGACATTTATATAATGTTTTTCTACATTAATCAAAAAATTACAAATCTTGTTATATAATTTGATAAATATTTTATGTATTGATTTGTGATAAGAAAAATATTAATTTTGTTAAGTAATAAAGTCGCAACTAGAATTTTCAATAGTAGTTTACTTCTATATTTTCCTTTTAACATGTCTTGTTATTCACTTTTTTAGTATCTCAACTTATGGATTAGTCAGTATATGCACAAAAAAAGTCAATATATATACAAGAATAAAGAATATATATATGTTCTATAATGAATTACTTAAATCTATACCTGCCACCCAAATTCAAAATCCAAATGCCAAAATCCCAAATGCCAAAATCCCAAATCCCAAATCCCAAATTATGATTAGTATTTTTTGCCGAAATCCCAAATCCCAAATCCCAAATGATTTGGGATTTGGGCAACACGTATACTTAAATCTGGAATAAAGAAGTTCACTGTACTTTCCTTTTATTACTTTTTGTCATTTTCTTCCATATCGCACTGAAAATATATTAGAAAAAAGTTAATATATACACAAGAACAAAGGATATATATATCTCTCAAGTTAATTATTCAAACTAGATTATTAATATCCCTATATGTAAATAGTACAACATAGTACTTTAATTCTATAATAAATATAAATAAAAACTGATGAGAGTAAAAAAAGATGTTATATATCTGTTTTTGAGATGTTTTTTATATAGATATGCAAGTGTAAGAGGATACTAATTAAATTTAGTAATTGATATATCATATGATCAAATTATATATGTAGGTTTTATTATATTCAAATTCCTTTTATAGTATATATCATATGATTAGTTAATTATTTTAGTAGAAATGTCAAGTTATATAAATTATTGCTTACTATAAACTGTAAGTATGAAATGCTATAACTTTTAAGTTGTCTTATAGGCTTGTTATACAATAAATATATTGCAAGAAATTATGTAATTTGTTAATAACATTTGTTTATGTTAAAATTTTACAACTATTTACCAGTACAATTTATGAACCAGTTTTAATACTTAAGTATTTTTGACACTAGCTCCACTATATTACAAAAAAATAAGACAAGTACTATGAATAATTTAACTTTCTACTAATACATATATTATAAAATCTACTACTCAATATCGAATAGATTAAATTATTTACGTAATAATTATAGTATGTCTTTTAATACTAATCATCATATAAATATTCTTCAAAAGAATCAAATAATGAGATTTGAAAATGAGATAAGTATGATATTTAACTTGAAAAGTCACTCTTATTGACCTGCAATTAACTTTTTTTCCTTCTAGTTTGAAAAAAGTAGTTGACCTAATTAAGATCTAGCTTTGAGCATATACTGCAAAAAGATAGGATATCCAGAAATTTTATTATTGTTAAGAATTATATATCCTTAAATTTAATATAAATCACATATAACTTCCATAAATACTACAAATAAGTTATAAAATAGCTACCTTAAGTGAATTATGTGAACTTCTTATACTAATAAAGAATAAATAGAATATATAAAAATACTTCAAATTTGTACTGATGAACTTCTAATAAGTAAATGAAATGGATTTGAGAATATCTTATATATTTTAAAAAGAATGATCTATTATCTTATAATAATAAAAAATATCTTGAAGCTAAGAAATTAATATATGTTAGTGGATTTATACAAGATATATACTTACAATTAGAATTGCTATCTGTTTCTCTTGTTATCAATTGGTATATACAGAACAATGAACAAAAATATAGAAAATTATAACTATATAGGAATGGAGTGACATTGGTATTCTTAATGCATCAGTAATAATACTGTGATATAAATTATAAAGAAAACATGAAAATTAAGCAAAAACTAAATTCTATGTATAATTTTGATGATGAGTGTTTAAATGTTTTCTATCTTGTTGTGAAAAATTAGAAGGGTATTGTTGAGTGTTTAAATAATTATAAATGGTTTGATATTGTTCGAATTCCATGGTAGATAGTAGTTTTGCTAGGACACCGACTACTTAGACTGGAGTGAGCTTATTGTCAGGCTTTCAATAAAATTATAATTTCTTGTATCGATTAAAGTCTGGATAACGCATCCGCGTTTTTATTTTCTTTTCCTGGTCTATGCTTAATTTCAAAATTATATGATTGTAATCTGAGAATCCATCTGGCACGCTGTCCTCTCATTGGACTAGTGTGTAACCAGGTTAAGGCAGAATGATCGGTAATAATTACGAAGGGTTTTATTCCTAAATAATGATGGAAATGTTCAACTGTCCAAATTATAGCCAAACATTTCAATTCGGTAACGATAATTCTTTTGAACTCCTTGTAAGCTTTTACTTATATAAGCAATCACCTGCTCAAGACCTTGGTCATTTAGTTGAGTTAACACTGCGCCAAGTCCTTGAGACGATCTATCAGTCAGAAGATAAAAAGTTTTATCAAAATTGGGATGTGCCAAAATAGGTGAGGTTGTTAATTTTTTTTGAGAGTATCAAAGGCAACTTGATGTTCTTTTTTCCATTTGAAAGATATTTCTTTTTTGAGTTAGTTAATATAAAGATTAGGTGATTTTTGAAAAGTTATGAATAAATTTCCTATAATAAGAGGCTAGTCCTAGGAAGCTTCGGACTTTTGTTACATCTTTAGGTCGAAGGAAATGTTGTACTTTCTCAATTTTCGCTAGGTCAGTAGTAATGCCTTGGTCACTAACAATATGACCTAGAAATTCAATTTGTTTCTTCAAGAAGTGACATTATCCAGGGCCTAATTTGAGACCAGTAGCATGTAGCCATTTTAATACTTCTTTCAATTTCTCCAGGTGTTCTTCAAATGTTTTGGAATAAATATTAATATTATCCAAATAAACAATAATATCTTTATATAATAAGCCATTAAAAACTTGATTCATAAGCCATTGGAAAGTAGCCGGAGCGTTGGTTAACCCAAACGGCATTACTGTAAATTTATAGGTTCCTTGTTTCACAATAAAAGCAGTTTTCTCCCTATTACTAGGGTCTATTTCAACTTGCCAGTATCTACTCGCTAAATCAAGAGTAGTAAACCATTTTGCACCTTGCATTACGCTTAACATATCATCTACATGAGGAATAGGATAAGTGTCCTTTTTTGTAAGGGCATTTACTTTCTTATAATCAACACATAGTCATTGTTTTCTATTCTTTTTGCCCACAACAACTACTGGGGAAGCCCAAGGGCTAAAGAATTTCACAACTAGTCCTTTTTGTAGTAGTCGTTAGATTTCTTCCTCTATAAATTGTTCTTCAACTGGATTGGAACGGTAAAACCTTTGCTTTACAGGTTTCTCAATCCCAGTATCAATTTTATGTTAAATGATATTTGTTCGTCTCAATTGACTAATATCAGTTGCAAACATATCTTGATTCTCCTCGAGTAACTGATTGAATTGTTCTTGTTGTTTAGTACTTAAGGTACTAACATTCAATTCAGTTTCAACTAATGAGTCTCCTATCATTATAGGGATCTCATCTAAAATATCCTTATCATTATCACTATCACTTTCTGATTCTGATTCTGAATTGCTTTCCTCATCTTCAGACTCAATAGAATCTGAAGTATTACTTTTTGTATCATTTTCAATTTTATTTTCATTATTATTATCACTTTCATTTTCATTCCTTTCAGGAGAATTTATTTCCTCTTCGGAATATTCAATACAGTCTTCAAAAGTTTCATCTTCATTGTCTTCCTCAATTTCGGAAGTTTCATTTTCATGCTAGTTATCACTTTCAATTTCTTTATCAGATGTTTCGCTTTCCTCTTCACTAGTAATTTCAGGGATTTCTGCTAAATTTTCTCGTATGCAGGAGGCAGGTAAAACCAAATGTTGATTTCTCCATTTTAAAGTTAACTCCTGGCTTTGCTAATTATAATTTCCATTGGCTTTTAACAACCAATTATTTCTTAAAATGAAAGTATAGGTGGTTGCTTCAGTTACTTCTACATCAACAGGGATAGTATATCCTGCAACAGTAACTGGAAAATCTCTAATAACTCCTAGGGGTCAAGTACCTTTTCCAACAGCAGATAAAATTACACTATTTGAAGGTTCATCTATGGAATATCCTAATTGTTCCATTGTGTCTCGCATAATCATGCTTACAGCAGCACCACTATCAACAATGGCAGGTACTGTATAATCATCAATATCAATGGTACATTTAAGTGAGGTGACTCGTGGTCGATATTCTTGATCAGCTATTTTTACATCTACTTTTCTAGATACTTTTAAATTCTTCATAAGAGTTCATTTCATTTCAGGAAGTTGGAGTAATTGAGA